GCTGCTGCTTTGCCTCATTTTGATTCTCCTGTGTTCCTACAAAATGTTTGACTGAGGTGTGGTGCTCGAAGACACGCCCACGCCACGGAGGAGGGGAAGCAGAGGTTTACTATCCAACAGTCTGGTGGAATCAATTGTTTCTCTGCTGATGAAAGACTACTTCTAAACCACAACTTTCCAATTTTATCTGTAAAWTAATTGCTGTCTTTTTGGTATTTGTTTTCTGTTTTTAATTTTGTATTTATTCTTTTAGCTCAGTGCTGAGGACCGGTGARGGTGGTGTGGTTGACCTGGATGGCGGTGTCCCCCCTTTTTTTGTGTGCATGCTTGCGGTGATCAGCACAGGTGGAGGGAAACTCAAGGAGTGTGGTTTCACGTGTGTTTGTTGTAGTTTCTTTTTGGGAGGCACTCATCCAGAACAGGTCTGTTGGCACCTACCGGTAAGCCTCAGTAGCTGAGCATTAGTAGTTTGTTTTTAATCAGTCTTTCACATTTTGTGTTTAATAAAACAACTTTCTGTACTTGAAAACTGTCTCCTGCTTTTTGCAAAACCGTACCTGTGTCTTGACTTTTGATTTTCTGGGTGAAGTTGTTGGTGACAACCAAACTTTAATGTTATAGCCCCAGAAGATCACCACTTGCCACATGTGCACAACAAGTAAGGAAATTAGTGTTTTGTAGAATATTTATTTGTTGTAACAATGCTTTTCTGCAATAAATCTTATATCACTGGAAAACCTGTTGGTTCCCCTGTTAAATGGTGCCACATTCGTAAGGAGCATGCATTTGTGGGATGAGCAGTAGAGCTGAGGGTTGCACACATGAAAACTTGTCAACTCTTCTCTGCCAAGCAGTTTATTTTGCTGTTAATAGTGACGTTTGTTTTTTGAGTTTCTGTTACTTCCAGGTGCTGCCAATTAGGTGTCTGCTKTAAGATTTATTGTTACAAAGAAACAATCTACCAAACACTAATTTATTTGCTTTTTGTGCTAAGTTGTTGTTTGAATCAGTGTTCTCACATCAGAAGTACAGATTGTGTTGGTTAATGGCTGAAAGCCTCTCAGAATTTTGCTCCTCATCAGTGTCTTCTTTGGGCAGAGAGCTAAAATAACAGTTTCTTTTTATCCCAACTGGGGGAATATTTGATTCACACAACAGAAATAAATCAGTCGCCTTTTATTTACTTCAAATTTTACCTTGCTCAACTGATTTATAAAACCCTCTTGTTTTATTGTCCAATCACACACATTTAACAAACGCCTATAAAAATTCTGCAAATACACTAAATTGTATGAATTTAAAAAAGTGTTTTAGTTTGCATTTGTAGCTGTCATCATGCAATGTAGCTTCTGGGTCATTTACAGATTATAAAATGAGAAGGTGTTTCGCAGAAAACTTTACAATTGACTCCAGTGTTGTGTCATGAAGTCATTTATCAAGAAAGGTAATTGTCGGAAACAGGAAAAAAAAAGGAAAGCCTTAGTTTGTGGAAACAGAAGTCCTCTCTGGATGTGGAAAAATTTCCAGGTTTGACAGTTAAAAGCTTCTTTACCTCTGACCTGTTTAAAACACAATTTAACGTATTTTACTATTATCATCTGTGCAATGATAGATCTGACAGAATAGACACATTTTTAAAAACATTTTAGACTTCTTCATAAACCTTTTTTACGTGGCTTACGCTAAAAGTTTGGACTGGAGGAGAATGATATCTTGTCTTACACAGTTTGAGCCAGAAAGTATTAACTTCTTGGAAAATAATGCAAAGTAAAACCTGTAGCACTTTTTTTATTTTTCAAACTTTATTAATTTCATTAAAAAAAAATTCTATGTACAATAAAAAGAGAATACAAATAAAATGAAATGAAAGGCAGTAGAGAAGAAAAAATCTCATCTGCCCCTTTTTTTCTCAAGTATAAATTCAAACTATCATAATCTTCAGTTAACAAAACAAAACATCAAATCTTTCCAGGACAAAACATTGAATGGCTACATTATAAAACCATTTCATATTTTTTTAAACAATCTAATCTTTATCTTGCTCWTTAACATATACATTGATGTGGCACTTTTGACATCATCTTCCAAATTATTCCACAAACTCACTCCTTGGATTGAGGTTCACCGTTCTTTCAGACATGTTCTAAACTTAGGTTTCATGAACATTTCTGTCTCCTTAAGATTATAACTGATCTCTCTCTTTGTAAAGTTTTTCTGAAAGTTTATCGGCATTGTGTTTAGGTGAGCCTTATACTGTACATAACTAACAAAATATTGTTAGCAACCAAATCATAAAATGTCATTAATTTGAGTTTACTGAATAATATCATAGAAGGATAATGGTAGTTTTTTCGAGTAATTACTCTTATTGCTCTTTTTTGCAAAACAAAAACAGGATGTGTAATTCATGCTTTCCCCATACCTCAACACAATAAAGTGTTGAACAATTAATGCATTATATAAGATATACAGAGCTTTGTCATTAAACAAGTCCCTTACATTGTAAAGCAATGCAATAGATTTAGCTAGTTTTATTCTTAAGTAATTTACATGTAAGTAAGTTTCCATTTCAGCTTCTCATCAATAATAACACCCAAAACTTCACCTCACTGACTCTATTTATCTCACCACCAACTCTAAATGGAATATTAACAGTTTCTTTTGTTCATTGTGAATATCATATTAGTTTTATCCAAATTTAGTGATAATTTATTACGTTTAAACCAGTTTTGTATTTTCACAAATTCTGTTAGCATTTTCTCTAACGACCGTTCTATGTCTTTACCTGAGCAAAAAAATGTGGTATCATCTGCAAATAAAACACATTTAAAGAGCCCTGACACATTAGCCAAGTCATTCACAAGATAAACAACTTTGGTCCAAGTATAGAACCCTGAGGAGCTTCACATGTGATTCCACATAGTTTAGATCTGACATCGTGTACTTGTACAAACTGTTCCCTATTTTCCAAATAACTACATATCCATTGTAATGCTGGTCCTCTAATCCCATATTTATTTAGTTTTTCAAGTAGAATGCTGTGGTCACTCGTGTCGAATGCTTTCTTCAAATCAACATAAATACTGGCGCAATATTGTTTTTGATCAATAGCATTTGTTACATGTTCTGTAAGTTCCACAAGAGCCACTGAAGTAGAGTTATTGGCTCTAAATCCATATTGACTGCTGCTTAAGATATTATTTTTATCGAGAAATTGGTCTAATCTGATCGCAAACAACTTCTCCAAGATTTTAGAAAACTGTGGTAATAAGGATATTAGTCTGTAATTACTAAATATGCATTTCTCACCATTTTTATAAATGGGAATTACCATGCTATTTTCATGTTGTTTGGAAATGTTCCTGTTGAAAATTATAAATTACTTATGTAAAGGGCTTAATAACATAAGACATTATTTCCTTAACAAACATCATGTCCATGTTCACCAGTCTTTTTACCTTTCATCCCTAAACTTATTTACAATACTCATTATTTTTTCCTCATTTGTTTCACCAAGAAAGATGCTGTTTGCACAACCCCTGATTGTTTCAGTCGTGTCATTATCAGCATTTGGTATTTGAGCAGCAAGACTTGGACCAACATTAACATAAWAATGATTAAATTCTTTAGCTATCATTTGGATCCTAAAGATCATTATTCTCTTTAACAAAGTATTGTGAAATACTTGATTGTACTTTATGTTTTTTTAAAACACTATTCATTACTCCCCATGTTGCTTAAGTATCACCATTAGTTTTGCTTAATAAATCACTGTAATATTCCGTCTTATGTTTTCTTAACATCCATACCAATTTGTTTTTATATTTCTTGTATCTGTCTTCTGCTTCTTTTGTTCTTAATTTCAGGAAAGTTGAATACAAATTATTCTTTTTTTTTTTTTTTTTTTGCAGGCATTTCTTAACCCTTTGGTCATCCATGGCTTGTCCATGACATCTTTCTTGGCAAAATTTTGTACACAGTGTTTTTCATACAAAGCTCCCAAAGTCTTCATAAATACATCATATGCTCTGTTGACATCATTAATAAATACATCTATCCAATTTTGTTTTTTCAAGTCATCTTTCAATTTATCCAAAGCTTTTTTTCGATGTGTTAAACATTTTCTTATCTGTTACAGTTACCGTTTTATTGGATTGGACACATAAGAACACATGACCAATTTCAAGTGTTCCACAGTCCAGTTTTTGTGCTCCCGTGCTTATTTAAGCTTTTTTTTATGATACTGATAAGCCAGCAGCTGTTCGGTTAGAAAAGTTGCAGACCTCAGGACAACGGGCCGACTTAAGGACACAGCGTGAGTGTCTTTCTTTTCACGTTCTTCTTAGAGTCACCCATATTTACTGAAGAGGAGTGTTAAACATCAACAACAACAACAAAACCATCAGAATTACCCAGACCATTCCCAAAACTTTCATCTAATCAGTTTCAAATGTGTCTGGAMTCTCAGCAGTACAAAGACCACAAACATCAGTGTTGATTGTGAAAGAAATGAAATAACATATTAGACGTTTCCAAAGTCCTGACCTCAGTGCTGTAACAAAAATAAAAAAATAAGTAAATAACATAAAATAATTTTTTTAACAAATTCTGCTCTGGTGAAATGTTAATTTTTTCACTAAAAGTGTCAAGAAGTGCTAAATAAAATATTGTGCTTTTTAATTGCCAGAGGTTAATAAATTACAATTACTTGAAGTAATTTTATTTTTGAGGATCTGTAATTTTGCCAAATATGTTTTAAATCATAACAATCACTTTATTAAGTTTCATTCGAAGCATAAACTTTTACTTCTTTACTTTAAAGTTTACCAACCGATTACACGCTACAAATATGACCGGAACTCATCATGAAAAGTTGTTACCCTAACCCTAACCTAACCTAAAAAATGAAGTGTTGAATTCACTGAACCAACTCAGCTTAGTGGAACCAGTTGGCATAAATRCAAGTTTGTGTTCAAGTGCTTTTACTTTTCTGATTATTGTGAGCAGTTTAATGACTTTTACTGAAGGACTTTTCTTATCATTGAATCAACTTCAATTTTTAACAGCCYTTTTCTATTTAGATATGTTTGTTTTTAGTTATTTTTACATCTCTTAATTACTGTACAGTATGTTCTTAAGCTTGTTTATATTGCATTTTATTTAACAATGGGAGTTCACCATAAACTAATATTTGTGCAGAAAATTTTGGCTTCGTTTTTTTTTTATATATCTTTTCACCGTGTTTGTAACTTTAACCAGACAAGAACATAACTGAAAGGTTTCTCTTTTTTTGTGATAATTTGACCTTTTTGAGACACAAAATTAAAAGTAAATAAGATGTTGACAAAAATGCTTACTTAGACAGTGAAGGTTTTCATTTAGGCTGTAAAAGTGTTGGACTTCTTTTTATATAAATTACCTTTTCCACAGGTGGAGCTGCAGTGCCAAATGTTACCTGAAAGTCGTCTTTATACTGAGAAACAAAGATGACGTGACGTTAATCCCCTTTTGTTGTAGGGAATCCCTCTTCTACAGTGAAAAGCACAACTTTTGTTAAATATTACTGGAAAGACTCACTTAAATGATTTTGGGGTTATTTTTTAGATGAGTTTAAAAGATTCACTGTTGATTTTTGCCAAATTTGATAAATGTCCTGATGCATCCCAGTAATCCAGGTAAAAAATCAAAATGAAAAAAATTGTATAGGTCTTCTGGACYGGTTCTTCTCTAATGAAACGTTTCGTCTCTCCTTCAAGAGACTTTTTCAATCTGAGAGTATCAGGCAAAATTCAGGTTTTTAAGCCCTGCCTCCATGTGACTGATACTCACATCACATGGCTATCGTTGACACCTAATTAACACTTATTGTTAACAGGGGGTGGAGTGATACTGGCAATAGCCGCACTGTAGGAGGGGGACAACTGAAAACGGAGACCCAAAACAGACCCAAACCAGTGG